TGGTTCCTACCGCTGTAACAAATGAAGGACTTCCTTTCCCCACAGTTCCAGTCCTCCCATTGGCCAGATCTCCCAAAGTTAGCCGCTGCACATTCCTCCTTCCCGTGGCTATTTGGTTCATTGTTTTCTTTGTTCCAATTCCTAAACGTTGAGTTGTTGGCATCCGCCCACTTCCAGGTGTCTCTGTACAGGCCGATCCAGACTCTGTCTTTTGGAATGGTGTTGTTAACCTTCCGGTTCTCATCCAGGTTCCTGATGCTGGCCAGGTCTGTGTGATGCTTTCTGCAGTAGCTCAGAGCCTCCGTCCAGTTCATGTAGGTTTTGATGTGAACAAAGGAAACATTTGATCCTGAAAAACATTTGATTGAATTCAAGTAAAAACAAGAAGTTATTATCATGGCTGCTGACATGCAAACAGCTTGCTCTGCAACTATGAATAACCAAATAATTTCACTTAGTCCTTAATGGTTTCAAACTGGAAATAAATACATGGATAGATAATTACAAGCTCAAATAAAGGAGTTTTATTTTAAGGATTCGTTTTTTTCATTATTTAATAAATGATTTCATGTTCCTCTTCTGAAGCAACTCATGATATAAACTGTTACACATCCATCAAGGTCAAAGAGGCGGGGCCAGGGCTGCTCCAATTGAAACCTAGACATCTGATTGGCTGCTCCTCGCTGAGCTAGTAGTCCAGTTTTCCTCATATTGGTAGAATTCAGATACATGGAATTAAATATCTGCATTAAATATCTAATATATTTATCTTAAATGGGTGTCTGTTAGCTTCCCATGGCTGGAATAGTAAACCTGTGAACTGCCATTTACTAGACGTAGCTGTTGGTAGCCCATCTTTAAAGATGCGTGAAAATAACCCAGAATAGTCCGGTACTGTGCAATGAACTCTCTCTAACTCTGTTCTTCCAGCTGTGCTTGTGAAAAAATGTGTCTTTGCGTGGCTTAGCTCAGAGTCTGTGCTTTACGCTTCACTCTGATGCTTCCCTCTCAGTAGAATGGCTCTTCTTGCTCTTGCTACTTAATAAACTATATGTGGCTGATCATCCGTTGCCAAGCCTAAAAAATCCTTTTATCATACTATCAGGATGAATAATAGATAAAAGGATGAACATGTTTAATATGCAGGAAAACAGACGAGGTTTCATGCTGGAGTCAGTTATAAGGATTAGATCTTATACGTCCTGGTTATCCTGCTGTGATTTGTGTTTTTTCCCTTGGATGTTAGTAAGGTTAAATATTAAAGTGTGCCTTTCTTTCTTTCTGAATAGGGGTGATCAGTTAGAGGCTTTGTTCCATACTTTATGCTGAGATGTAGGGAAAGGAAGGAGGTTTGAAAAGGAGTTTCCTCCCTAGGTTAGATAAGGGGGAAACATACCGTATTTTCGCAACTATAAGGTGCATATAAACGTCTTTTTTTTTCCTCAAAATGTGCGGTGCGCCCTATAGTGCGGTGCGCCCTA